TCGCAAGAGTATTCGAACGCTCATAGACACGTTCGACGAAGATGAAGATGATGATTAGGTGCGTCGTATGAAACGTTTGGAATTTCGATTAGGTATTCGATGCAAGTATTTATTAAAGGTATTTAAATTTTTATACATCCTCGGATTGATTCCAAATTTGACCGATATAATCATGACGATCGTGTCTCGTTTCAATGTTAACGAAATTTCGAAATGTTTTATATTAATACATATCATACATGCGTAAGTGTTTTTTATACAAGTGTTAAATTACCTTCGGAAACTTCGCGTATGTTGGTGCTACGTTTCGCAGAATTTGAATTAATCCCGAGCGAAACTCACCGTGCTATACGTGGCTTCCGATTCATTCTGATTTCTGTTCATAATTAACCAGCGAAACTTAGAAGAGTTCCCGTGTATATAAACCGCGCTCGACTATGAACGTGTAACAAAGCTTCGACCTTCGTTTGATATCAATTTTGATAGCGTATTATGTGCATGGAAATGATTCGTATCACAAATTATTGTTGTCAACGAACGATCATAAACTCGAATATTTGTAGATTGTCGGCTTGGTTCGGAGCTTGTGAAACGCGATTACGAAATACTTGACGCGAACACGTACGTTTGGATAATGGAACGAAAAACTGGAAGTGATGGTTATTAAGTGAAAGAAAACGATGATTATTAAGTAAAAGAAACTGATCGTTAACGGACTTTTTATAATTCGACGGCCGTTAAACTGTTTACGATGCAACTTTTTTTGGAGTAAATCAAATCAATAATAACTGACGTAAGTGATGCCTACGTGCAATCTTTAAAATAATGCGGCTGATTGGCGTCAATTGACGCGGAAGCTCGTTGAATCCATTCAACGACAGTAAAAAAATCCTATTCTTCGGTTTTATTCCGATGGCAAAAAAGCTCTGCACAACTGTTACGACTTAGTCGTTCGCGTAGGTGCGAATCGTTAAAGAGTTGCACAAGGTTACTTGTAGCGAGTACGCGAACGTGATGACGAGGCCAAAACTAGCAACGAGAAACTGATGCACCTGGAACGCAGGCAACCGAGACGAAACACACGTACCGCAGACGAAAAAACGCGTGCGTTACATCATTTCCTTATCGAACGTAACTACGCTTCCTTTTAAACCGCTATATCAGAAGCAAAAGCTGCGGCTTATCAGCGCGCTGAGAACGATTAAATGGCATACTATCGCAATCTTAATTGTCTCTCCCGAAATCGGCTGACTTTAATCCTGTAAACACGGATACATGTTTTTGAATTGTTGAATATTTACGTTGTCCAACAATTGATTTTCGACATCTCTAATGGCCGAATGTTCAATATTCCTCAGCATAGAAATTTCGAAATTTCGAATTTCAAATATTCGCATTTACAAATCCTTTGTGGCCCGAATGCCTAATCCCTCGATGTGAATATTTAAATTTTCAAATCATGAAATATTTACATTTCAAATATTTAAAACAATCCAAATCCCCGGACTCGATAAACTAACAAATTTCCAGCGACAAATTTCTCTCTTTTCTTCAAATTTTCAAATTCTCGTGTTATATACACGTTCCAACTTTTTAATATCTACATTTTCAAATTTTCAACATTGAAACTTTCGAGCCGAGTAATTATCAAGACTGGATTATTTCCAATCACACTATAATAAATATCAGTACGTAGGTATGTTTTCTTTCGTAATTGCCTTACTATACACACCAGACTAGACCCACACATGTTTATTACCGTATTAAAAATCTGACGCAATGAACCATCGTGACGCGTAGCACAGCCAGTGCAAATTACGAAAACTGGATAAAAGTCAACGTAAGATTAAGAGAAAAATACGTACTAACTATCTTACGTATCGAAGACACGTGTTAGATCTATTAAATGGCCAGTATTCACGTGCGTTTCGATGCAACGAGAGATTGACGCAACCCGTAATCGAAATTAATAAAGAAAACGGAAGATTTGAGGCACTGATCTCCCTCCGATCGAAAAGGAACAGAAGGTCAAAGTTAATCTCGTCCACGTTCATGATTTATATCGGGTTATATTAAAGTAGAGGCACGCCGCTCACCCTCTAATTTTCCACATGTGCATCCGAATGCGTCACAAGCTTGTCGCAGCGATTATTTCGCAACGTGTCACGAATCGATCGAACAATGTTTTCCACTTCTCGATCGAAGAATTTAAAGGATGGTTTTTCGTAACGAGCGTTGTGTAATTTGCAAGTGTTGGATGCGAACACTCGAACGAGTATTCGTTATATTCGAATGATTTCAACATGTAAAATAATTCAGTCTTACGAAAACAAAAAACTACGTTGATCCTATAATGCCATAATTTGAAAAGTATAGAAAATCGATGATGTTACAGATATTGTTCTTTTAAATTTACCCCGAAGCTTAAAATTAATTTATATCTATTCTACGGTTATTAATAATTTACGACAGTAAGCCATTTGTTCCTTGACGACTGAATATCAATCATCTGCTTATATAAGAAAATAAAAAAATTACTAAAATGGGGAATTAATCAATTTGTTTTTTTTAAGGCTCGATTCTCGTTCATTTGGCACGTTCGATGGAAAAAGTTAAACACTCGTACATTGATATCTATCGTTCGCAAGATTACTAAACTATTAACGAATAAATAAGATTCTCATTTCTAAACAATGATGAAAAGCGTGACGTTAGAATGAAAAAAAGATTCAAGGCAACGATGACACCGCGACGCTTCAACTTTACATCAGCCTATTTTAATAGTTTCTCAAAGACCCTAAATTTCTAAATGGAAAATTACCGTGTGGTATCTTTCAATCATTTGCGTACATTTCCTAATGTATTCTTGCGTATAACATCTATCTAACTTATCAGTCTACGTAAATTACATATACTATATACATATACAATCAGAAAGAAAACTTGTAATCTTGTAACGCGAAAAATCCCAATAGTCAAAGTATACGTGTCTAACATTTACCTAACTTATCAGTAGATCATGGACTTTTATGTGTTTATAGGAAATTTAAAAGTGCAAATGTATATAGAATATGCGTGCTGTACAAAACTACATGAAATGTTAAAAAAAAATAGCATGCTTGTTACATTTAATAAATGACACGAATAGTTGTTTAGATTCTGTTTTATCGCTTATATTCACGAAAGTATGATATTACATAAGAATCTGTAGTCTACTTATGGGAGATAATAAATTAAGTACCTTAACGATGTTCAATCAGAAAGAAAGCTAGTAATCTTGTAACACAAAATATACGCGTCTAACATTTACCTAGCTTATCAGTCAAAGTAAATTAAATACCTTAACGACGTTCGATCAGAAAGAAAGCTCGTAATCTCTCAACACGAGAAAGCCCAATGGACAATGTATATACGCGTGGCGAAGACTAGATATACGCATTAACCGTGCTCTCTCTTCCTCTTAATACGCGATACAATACACCTACAATGGGCCGTTTATGCGAGCACCGCGTTACTCACACATGTCAAGCCAGGAAATCGCGCTCGATCATCTCGCTAGTAGTTACAACGCAACCCTCTGGGGGTGGAGGAGGTAGAGAAAAAGCACAAGGTTCGCAATATGGTACGTGATGCAGGTGAATAACATGGTGTCCCTTTGTAGTTATACGCAACACATGCATCATACCGTCCATGACAGAGAGCGTTTACGTGACGCACATAGTAGAACGAGAAGAAGAAAACACACATTTCCTATCTCTGTCTATTGGAACGTCAGAAACGAACTGTCACTCTAGAGAAAGAGAAAGAGAGCCATAGATTGGTCGTATGTACTCACCGATTTGTAATATCACGCGAGGTAGCACGATCCACCGAGCCTGGAGTCGTTCCCGTGGGTCAAATGATCCTGACGAGCTCCATGGTTTTCCCGAACTACCGACGCACTCGTGAATTCGTCCCTCGCTGCTCTGGCCCCTCTGTCACGGTACACGCGAGAACCTTTTCGATCGTCCTTTGCGTGCAGACTCGACGAAAGAGGTTTGACGGCTGCGAGACTCGACCAACGCAAGCACTCACGACCACCTCGAAGGTCTGTTGCCAACTGACCCAGCCAGTGACAGCTCTTCGCGATTCACCACGTTTACCACCGTACTTCCAATAAAGTAACTATCGCAAGCTCTCGCGATGCCACTCCGATGCCTGCCTGAAACACCGCAAAGCTTTTCATGAGCGAATCGTCCTATAAACCACGGGATTTCCCTGAAAAACCGTGTATTATTAAATGCCACAGGACCTTATGGAACCTTATTCGTACTATAGAATGTGTTTTAAGCTTTTGTAAGATACGACAATTAGGTTTTATGATATGTCAATAAAGAATTGGGAGGCAGGATATTGACATATGTATTTTAGACTTTCTCAGCTTGTTTGAAGGTTTAGTTAGGTATTTGGGTACAAGCGATTCTTCTTAATTAAACGAAGTATCGAAAATGAAGTTCTTAGATTTATTTCAAATGATTATTCTGATCGAAAGCTGATAGTATGAGGAAGAAAGAAAGCAGAGGAAATATGGCCGAAAAATTTTTTTCACGAAAGTTGTCGACACTGTCGATCATATGGCAATCAGCTGTAATTCACGTTTCTTCAATGGACATATGTTTGTATCGCATTTACGAAATAAGTGATCAGAAAGATAACTAGCATGTATTGTTTGTAACAGATTAATGGTGTCTTCTCTAACACCGTATTTTATTGTTATTGCACGATAATATCAATTTAACACACGTGACTGCATTATTTATGCGGGTTTGAAATCTCTGAAGGCAGCATTTTAACTCAAGGTTAATTGATTTAACGGTTTGTTATTTGGCAATTGAATTAGATTTAGATCAAATCTGGGACTAAGCAATTAAAATGTACAAAATTTGACCGATGACAATAAATTAACGATCGCGGAATTGTAACTATCTTTCTCCTTTAGAGAAAGATATTTAAAAAGAGGATTATTTAAAAAGAATTTTTATTATTTCACAACTATCAGTACTTAACGCTTATGTAGATCTATTACAAACTTAGAAGTATATGAAATCGTTTTAACTGCGTTTCAATGTGATATCAATAACATATTAAAAATGCAAATACCTATGAAATGTGTATATTGCTATGATTTAATCCATAAATGTTTTATTTACAAATGTTTAACCATTTCTCAGAGTTGGAAGTCTGAAACATGTTCCAGATGGTATACTAGTTGATAATATCAAAATCATGTCTTGATAAGAACACGGTGTGTAAGATAATTGTATTTATTCTCAGTCTTAACTGCATCACTTTTTGCCAGATTTCTTTATACCACCAGTGACAAGAGGACCCCTTTGACTTGCTTTCTTTGCAGCTTCAGCGAGCGCTTTCTGCTGTTCCTTTTGTTTTTGCTTGAATGCTACATCTTCTTCATCCAATACTTTTGATTCCTTCTTTGGTGCCTTCAGGGGCTTTTTCTTACCACCTTCGCGGCCAGACATTCTAAAAGTGAATTCTCAATTAGATATAATATTCTTAAAATAAACAATGAAATTGCAATTTGCTTATCTTAATGTGATAATATAAATTAAAATATAAAAGAGGAGAAAACATTGGTTTGAAATGAGATAATGAGTTTCGAGCATCAAATTACAAAAAAAAAAGCTTTCTTACAAAACATAACCTACGAAGTTTCTCTCATGTCAGAATCGATAATGTTACTCAGCTTATCAAAAATATTACATGGTTTAAGCATACAATTTAATATGACTAAAATGTATGATGCAACAAGAGACTTATTACGCACAAAACTTAAGACTACACCGAAATTAATACGAACAACGTGTGAAATAATCAAATGCATAAATTAGAACAATAACCTAATTTAAGTAAAAGTACATAATGGTAATAATCTTTTACCTTATTATACTGTGAAATTTCACAAATAATCAAATTAATATTACAAATTTAACGTGTCAGAACTGAATACTCTTATTCAGGAGCAAAGTTTGGTTATCACGTCTCAAGTTGAAATGTCGCATGCATGCCACTCAATGGTTAAGATAGATTATGCTGCCATCTATCAAAAAGAAGGTGACGAACTACTAACTTTTAATACTTGAATTGCCATCTAGCGGCGAATTGCCGCAATTTAGCTGAATCCTAAGATTTCCACTACAGGGCAATAAACAAATGATTTATACATAATGATTAAACAGAATAAATAACTTATAATGTAAATAAAATACACCGATTTCTTCCTCTTTATTTCTTACTTTTTAAATATATATTTAAGCTCTCTTTGTTAGGAAGACTGTGCTGTCCTCTATATCTTTTTAATTCTTTATCTTAACGGTTAAATAATTGTATCTGATTATACTTGTTGTGTCGCTTAAATATAACTATTCTTAAACATAACTTCCCAACGAAAGAAGTAATAATATATATTGACACATTTGCTACTTGATTAAACAAGTATTACAAAAATTTGAGTTGTTAGTGAAAATGAACTTAAATTTAATTGCGGCAGCATGTGAGGGGATGGGTATTGGTGTAAAAGGAACGTTACCATGGAGACTTAAGTAAGAAACAATGAAAGTTACATTATAAATGCAAATAATGTAGCACATTATAATCTATTCCTTACCTTATAGAAGTGAAATGGCATTCTTTACGTCTATGACAACGAATACGAAAGACCCAAATAAAAAGAATGTTGTTTTAATGGGACGAAGGACGTGGGAATGTATTCCAAAGAAGTACAAACCATTAAAAAATCGAATAAACATAGTACTTACGTCACAGTCTTTGTAAGGATGACTCATTTTTATTAACGATTTGAAATTAAAGTAATTTTTTAAATTTATGAAGAATAATTAACTATGTAGAGATTATGGGGACGATGCGATAGTATGCAAAAGTATTCCACATGCTCTCGAAGTGATTAAAAAACCTACATTAAAAGATCAAATCGAAGGCATATGGGTAATAGGTGGAAGTTCCGTATACAAGGTACGACATCTATACAAATCTCTGCTTAGGTCCTATTCCTTCAATTGCATTCTTAAAAATATTAACTTGCATAAATATCCGCAGTCTAATACAAACAGTCTCATAGAAAAGATCTAATTGCAATTTCAGGCAGCAATGGAATCTCCGAATTTTCACCGATTATATTTGACAAGAATAAAAAAACATTTTGTCTGTGATACCTTTTTTCCAACTATTCCTAATAATTTTGTTTTGATAGAGTAAGTATTCTTATGATTTTTCTTAACTATCCCGAATAATTTTATTTTACCATACACTTAATTATTTTTATTTTCTTTGAAATTATTTCATATTTGTTTCTTTTTTCATTGATTCAGTGATCCTAACATTCCTCAGGGCGTTCAAGAAGAAAACGATATACAATTCGTATATGAAGTGTATGAAAAAAAATAGATTTTTGTATCTGAAAATTATTTAAAAGTAAAAATGTGAAATTTTGACCGTACCATTTTGGCTGCCACGCTGAAACCACATGTTTCATTCAGGACGTCACAGTGTTTTAACACAGTGCATCATTAGATGCAAGATTTGTTCTCATTTTTTTATTGATGTTTTAATGAAAATGTTTTTGTTCAATGGTGCACTTTTTATTTGAAAGTATCTTCTATTTATCAGTCGCCCGTATTCGGGTGACGCTTATTTGACTACTTGCGAAGCATCGTCGTGGATATTTGAACAGATATTCCACAGGAAGTAATAAAACTATTGAATTGTCATAAAAGTAATACGAAAATGGTTTATTAAGAAAATTATTTAGAATGTAAAACTTTGAAGCAGTCTATACAAAGCTGCGTTTGGTCGGGACAATTTGGACAGAAAGCTGTTGTTTTATTTGCATAACATAGTTTGCATGCGCTTGCGGAATCATTTTTTCGAACGGCGATATTATGCTGATTCCGTCGAAGACAAGGGTTTGTCTCACCAAATTGAATTGTACTTTCCTCGGTATCATCAGTTCTTCTTTATTCCTCAATGACCAATTCTTATAAAATGTTGTCAACAGTATCGTCATTACATTCAGTATCACTACGATAGCGCTTATCAATATCCCAATCAGAATCAGACGATGTAATTCTATTTTTATTTCTGATTTCTTTCTCATCGCTGCTATCCGAATTTGTGTAAGCCTCGTAAAAGTTTTCTTTTTCACTGCTATTTGACTCACTAAGAAATAAGTTTTCCATTTCTCTTTTCGATATTGTAACGAATTAGGACAGAGATTTTAAGTTATCTAAAATATCGGTGGGAGTACCAAGCAGAATACGCTTGGTACAGCGGCACTCGTGGCCTGAAGAAGATTTCATTGAAAACACGCGCGGCAATCAACGTGTTAAACTGAGACAATTAAAGCTGACAAGGGCATAATATTATTTATTCATCAAGAACATGAAGAATGTTGCGTCAAAGATTATTATCATGACAATAGATACTTTTTATAATCCCAAATTATAATTAGATATTAGATACATTAAGAGAAACGAAATTCCTTAACCAGGCGGCCACTTCATTTGACGACCACCAAGAACATGTAGATGCAAATGATAGACCGATTGTGCACCATGCTTGCCATCGTTGATGACTAAACGAAATCCGTCATTGAGACCCTGTTGCTTCGCTACCTTACGAGCAACTATCATTAAATGACCCAGCAAAGCTTCGTCCCCGTCTTCGGCAGTTGAAAGTTGCGGAATTGGTTTTCGTGGAATCACCAGGAAATGCACCGGTGCTTGGCCGTTAATGTCATGAAATGCAACGCACTAACACATTAAAAAATTTGTTTCATTAGCAGAATTCTAACGACAAAGTAAATTATGTAAGAGTACGCTTCGAAGATTCTAAACGTTTACAGATAGTATCACTTCTCAAAAAGAATTAAAAAATACTGAAAGAAATTAAGGAAAGCATCTATATACAGTAAGTTCACAAATAGAGAATTTGAATTAATTCGTTAATGTTACGGTTATGATATAGTACAAAATAAATTATGTACCTTAATTATACATACAACTATTACTAATTGCTATGGAGACATACAAACCAGTAAATAACCTTAAATTTTCATGACAGAAATATAATATTTGATATTTCAGAACAATATTCTTCCAATCATTTAATTCGATTTACCTGATCATCCTCGTAAATGAAATTACAAGGTATTTCTTTACGCAATATCTTCCCGAAAATAGTATCTTCTGAGGGAGCTGCAGTTTGGGCTTTTTCAACTTCGGTCGCCATTTTTCTCCAGCATGGAGTATGATGTGATAGATTAGCATTGAAATATGGTAGACGTTTACACGAATTTATAGCGAGATTTAAAAGCAGCCTCATTTCGAGAGTACTTAAAATACCTTTAAAGGCTTAACACGTTATTCTTTCGAGTTCACACCGGAATAATTCACTAATTTAGCGTTTATGTATATCAGTAGTATAATCGGGAATAGTTTACGATAAAAAGAAGGGCAATGTCCAACACGCCATGTCAGATATTACAAGTGGCGGTAAATTTGAATCGAAATTTGAATGAAAATTCGTATATTTATGAACACAATTAAAAGGATTTAAGTAAAGATATTTCATATATTTTTACAGATTCTATTATTAGACTATCGACCAATTACTATTCTTTTTTTTAATACAATTTCAGTTTAAGAATAGTTTCGATATATAAAACTATAAAATCTTTATTTTACTGTACAGTCTTTTCATGCGTCTTTCACATATTTTTACAAACTGCATAATCATGTATATATATATATATATATTATTCGCCTAATATTAAGATTTATACACATACTAGAGATAAAATACATTATTAACTCCTATTCGTTATTATCTTTACATACATATGGCAGTGTACTTTCTGGTTTTTTTACGGGAGATCCTATGTCTTTCCGACAAATCTAACGGGTCAGTAGGCCCCAGTCTTACAAGAATAACGCTACTTAATAGTACGTAATTACAGTTAAGTTTAATTACATAGAAAATTAAGGCATAGGTTGTGAACGTTCCAACGACTTTGGAAGGCACACCTAGTCAATTATTACACAAAATCATTTTTGGTGCGCGTGATATATGTAAATCCCATTTATTTTTGCAAGAAAGTATCTTCTACTTTACTTACAAAAAATGGAACGTCGATATAATTGAATTCATAGATATTATGAAACTAATAGTAATATTAAAAATACTTCTTAGATATTACCTAAATAAATAAGGTCAACAATATTATCGTTAGATACATAATTATAATTAAACTATGACGATTTCTCGAAATTAGCTAATGGTCGTATGATTTAAATATGATGATGATACGCTTTATAGAGTGTAGTAAACGTATTTTGCAATTGTAATTTCTAAATGAGAAAGGAATATTTATAAGTCGTATATAGTTACGAAAATCCCTATTGTACTATATTCGTAATAAACTATACTATCCGCTTAAAAACAAAATGCTACGATGTCCTTAAAAAAAATAATACGCTTACATACTTTTGGATATACCAACGTCAGTCTACGTTTCAAAAATTACTAAAGATACCAAAAACAAAAAAATACTCAGAAATAATAATCATCACGAGTCATCTTCAGCGAAATACCGATGTCTGAGAGCCTGAGCTGCAGTTAATCGTCTATGAGGATCAAACATAAGCATACTTTTAATTAAATCTAATCCGTGTTCATTGAGATCAGGTATTATTGACTCAAGAGGTTTTGGTACCCTATAAGGGAAAGCTGTCCAACTAAGGGACACATTTTCTGGCCATTCTTCATACGCCGGAGTTCCAATTGTTCTGTAGAACAATTAAAATATATTTAAGTTTAAACTATTTTCTTATACGAAACAAAAACGGCGGATATCTTCAATAACTTACCGGAAAATCCTATCGAGTTGATCGCCTTCGCTTGTACCTGGGAAAAGAGGTTCAAGTATACTCAATTCTGCTAATATGCATCCTACGGACCAAATGTCAACAGCGGTGGCATAAGAACAGCCCAGGAGGACTTCCGGGGCGCGATACCACTGCGTTACGACCTATAATTGTCAATAATTTTAATGGTTTAGTGATTAGGATATACAATCATAGATATAAACGGAAGCATTACAGCGAGGTAATAAAATTGAAATAGTAGTGAAAATTTACAAATTTCAGGGGCTGAAACGAATAATCTGACGCATTTTCGGAAATAGATTTATCTGTATGAAAAAAAGGGGACGATTAATATCGTTGAACTGATAATAGCAATTAATTTATAGTAGAAAATAAACTGATTTAGCTGCGGTTAAATTATCCAGTTACCTTACTTTAATGCTTTCTTTTACCTCACTGTATCGTTTCAACAATGTTCGCCGTTTGTACAATGTGTCAACCTACCACAGAAGTCAATCTCATTTCAAAGTCGTACGTTTTCGCCAATCCAAAATCTGCGATTTTTATTCTCCCCTCTCGGGATACCAATAGATTTTGTGGTTTCAAATCCCTGTGAATGATCCTGTGACTGTGTAAAAATTCGACTCCTTTCAGTATCTCCTGCGACATTTGTTTCAGCAGATGAGACGGGATACCTGACTCTGAACAGGAGGACATGTAAGACGCTAAATCCCTTTCTACGTGTTCGAACACCAACCATAAAGTCAACCCTCGATCTAGCCTCTCCGGCATCCCATCGGCGGAAGGCAAGTGTAGATAATTCCCTTGACAAACGTCCAACAGTCTCACCTGCGCGCATAACAGACAATGTGAATGCAAATATTAATATAATGCCACTCAAGCACACGGTCTATACGACTTACGATGTGAGGATGCTCGAATCTTTCGAGCTGTTTCAAGGTAGCTATTTCTCTTAACGTAGACGTGGGTAGTCCATCTGCTGTCAGCGGCACCCTAACTTTTTTTAGCGCTACGACTTGTCCTGTATTCAAGTCTTTGGCCTTGTAAACGGTACCGTAAGCTCCATTGCCGATCAAAGACAATTCCTGATACGATGCATCCTCGCCGAGTAAGGAAGTCTGAATTTGTACATCGCTATCCGACTCTGACCTCTTGCTAGAGCTACCAGATAGTTCTTCCTGACCACTGTACTTCATTTGTATGATCGTTTCAAAGCTACCAAACTGTCCTTCCTTCGAGGAGCCAGCCTTCACGTTTGCCGGCCCCTCCAAGTTAGTTTGGATCAGTTGCTTGGTGCTGTCCAAAGATTCCTCGCTGATCTGGAAAGGATTCGTCTCCGACTCGCTGCCTGGTATCAATTCGATCGTGTTCTTCGGCAAGGAACTCGTACTCGTTAACTTCTCCACGCTCTCCAATTTTTCCGTGCTCAAATCATGCTCCTTCTCGGACGTTCCCTCGATCGAAGCCTCGGAGAACTTGGACTTCTTCGGTGGTGTCGGAGACGACAGATCAGGTCCGAGCTCAGAGC